TATATAGCGGCACATTATGTTTCAGGATGCCCTGGCAAGACCTACGAAAGACAGGAACCCCTACTTCGGAGTGAACAGATTCGGAACCCTGTCTCTGGTACAGGACCCCAACAGCACCTACCTGGAGAACGACACCTGCTTCCTCCAAGTGGTCGTCAGCCAAGAATACATACCCGCATTATGATGAGGACAAGTCATTGCCAAACATCACCGAAGCCAATAATCATATCAAATTGACGGATAATTGTTCACAAAATATATTGAAGGCTGAAATCGCAAATTCTAAATTTAAAGATTCAAAAACGTCTTTTATGCATCAATGTAGTGCAATTGTTGCGGATAATCTAAAATGTCGGAGTATTTGGTCATTTGATAACCAGAAAGATGGTTTTCTAGAAGTTTTAACATATCTGGGTCACCGTTTTTGGACCGTCTAATTGTTTGCCGATCGGAACATTGTTCCGATTAGACTTTTTCGTGCGTTTAAAGCAAGTTTTTATGGGAAGACATCAATAGGTAGAGAGAGCTACAGTGGCAATTCCTACTTTGATGTCAGTTTTCACTCAACATTTTGAGATTCTTATCATTGTCCCGAATTTTAAAGAAAATGACGGAATATTTGTTCTACGGGTGGTTTTTTCAACCGAAAGGTTTCAACTTTTTAGCTAGTCACTTTTAACAGGATTTTGTATCGTCATATGGAACCTATTGATGAGATCAATTTTCAAAAGATATATTTTTTTGCAAAGTTATGAGGGTTTGAAAACTGCCAAATTTGTCAACTTGTGAAGTTTATCCCAGGTGACAAAAGTTTTAAATTGGCTAGAAGCATGCTAGTTATTCTAATTGAAACGCTACTGTATGGTAAATATAAGACCCTGTTTTTCAAATAGCGTGTCAGACAATCTTCAAAAAAAATTATAGTTTTTTCTGTTATCAAACACTACTCCAAAGAACTTAAAGGCAGCCAGAACAATCAGGGTGTCGCCCTGATACGAGCACTCTTGTTCAAGTTTGAAATAGATCCAACTTGTTTCAACAATTTATTCCTTCTTTTTATGCTCTTGTATGAAATTTGAATGATTTAAAGTTCACACACAGAATTTTTTTAATTTTTGTTTTTAATTGGACAGCATTTGGCTGAGTAACAGTGTTTTGAATTTTTTTTCGATATTTTAATGGAGTCTATTTTTGAGACACTATTTTGGTATACATTATCACATTGAGTCCTCGATCTGAACTTTTGTAATAATTGCGGCTAAGAATTTTGGTTGGTTCCTCATTACCTAAAACACACTTGTCTAGCCATTTTTGAACAGACTTTTTAAAAAACATCTGAAAAGTAGAAATAAATTGAGTTCAAATTTTAACAGATATTTTACTGTGATAAATTTTATGACATTACGGTGGTTTGAAAATTGCCTAGTTGGCTAATTTGGGACAATCAATGCGCGTTATATATTCTATTAAGGCTTAAGCGGCTATTTGACCCGGCTCAGAAATCGTTCGCTTTTAAGTGGCAAGGTTTTAGATCTAAAAAACATTGATTACGCAAAATAATTAATTTTGGGCTTTTCTATGGAAAATACATTTTTTTTGCATTAAAAAAAATTTGTCAATTTTTGAATATCTTAAGATGATGACCTAATCCTTCGATCTTAAGCGGCAGTCAGATTTTTCAAGGTTTTGCCTGATACGAGCAGTCTGGTATGATTTAAAGCTCAAATAAGATAACTTGATGAAATGGTGATTATTTTGGAATTAGTGAGGTAAGACTTTTTGAGAAAAGAATTGGGCAGTTAGTACCACAAAACATTGCGTTACTTTGCACAAGGTAACACTGCTCAAAAATTATATTTGTCCCAGTTTGGAAAAAAAACGTGAAATTATAACATTTTATGACAGCACGGCTCAAAGATAAGTTATAATACAGTTATTAATCAAAATATGAAAGCAGAGAGCAAGAGCCAAGTTACGTATCACTTTTTTATGGAAACTTGATTTAAAGATAAAAATTCTTTTTTGTATAAATTATTGCTAAATCGCCTTCAGAAAGTCTCACATTTTGTCGGCCATATTGGTCGTGATAGAGCAGTACCAAAGCAGTGGTGATTGTGTGACTAAGGTAGCTATCATTAAACGGACACAATGTAGCCGAGAAAAATTTGAATACCGGTCAAAAGTTTGAAAACGGAGCTTAACTCTATTTGTTGCTGACAAAAGAAACCAAAATAGAGCCATACCATGTCAGTTTTCAGCGAGTTTAAAATGTTCACACTTGCTAAAACAGATATTTTTGCTACTGATATTTTAAAAACGCCCAATTTTTTTGGCTTTTATAATTTTTATTCTCATCACGTTTTTTATTAGCTTCAATTTTACTTCTAGTGAGACAAAGTCAGCAGTTGTAGTTTTTTAACGAGAATTTGAAAACAAGCTAATTTGAAAAAAATTCTAGTGCTGAGATAATTTAAACGTTTTCAACTTAGCAGATTGAAAACAAAAAATGAAACAAATCCTCATGCTTTTATAATTAAAATATTTCAAATCTACTGGCATTGAAGCACGCAAATTCAACATACTGATTTGCAGTAGCATATTAATGGGAAAACGTTTTTTCATTCGCTGTTCGTTATTTGCTGCCGATTTAATAGTGACGAATAAGAGCTGAAAATGAAGTTCTATTTCATAGTAAATTCCTGTTTTTGGGTTAAATTTGAGTTAAACTTAAATAGTTTTTTAGGTTAATATTAAGCAATTCATAAGTTATAGAATTCGAATTACGATTCGCACTCATAAATAGGAACTGGTTTGATAAAATATCATTTTATACAATTCAACGGCTGACACACCGTTTAAAAGCTAGAGAAGTCACATGAGCCATGAAAAAAGCCGAGACAACTTTGAAAAAATGACAGGGGGTCGAATACACGACAATCTCTACGTGCACGCAATACCACTATACTAATTGCCTCTATGAAAACAGATTAATTAGACAAAACTTACTGAAATGTTGAAGTCAACAATTTAGCATTTTCGTTCTCTAATCAAAAACATAGCTAACAGCTGGATGAAATTCAATAAACGCAAGCAACGATCACGGAGCTCATCGGTAACCCACGACTTTTCGACTGTTTGACGATCACCTTCGCCACCAGCGGATTGGGGGGGGGGGGCAGGACACCCCTTCCTCTCGGGAATTCAAACCCCTGCCTACCCAAAGAGTCCCCCCTTTGTACTATTGAGATATCAATTTTTTGTGATATCAATTTTTTTTAAAGGCGCCTTTGGCGACAAGATATACTTATTTTGAGCGCTGGGTGGGGGTGCGCCAAAAAAACGCAACTTTTTTTGTCAAAATTTTCAAAAAAGTCCCTAAAAATGCCTCAAAAAAATTGACTGCGGTGCAGAAAATTTTGTCAAAGTGGAGTGTTTTGAAACTCCGCCCCCCTAGAGAAAATCCTAGATTTCACCACTTCACTACCGCCCATGACCTTCACCACTTCACTTATGCTTCTTTTCTGAGAATATAAAAAAATTAACTTCATGGTTAATTGCATATCTAAGCGTAGAACTTTTTACACTAAGTTTACTGACACAAACTGCCAGAAAAGAACATTCATAATTTCACTGACTAAGATATATAAATAAAATTACTTTACAACCAGTATGAAACATTTAGCACTCAATATTTAGGTCAAACATATCATTCAAGAAATAAGGAAAGGCATTTTCAACTAGGTAGACTTAATAATGGAATATCTCAAACTTAAACATTTACACAAAATCACATTGTTTTTTCTTCCACTCAATGAGTTTAAGCAATAATAATTAGACTTCTCTCATCAAAAAAAGCTATTTTTAAACGTCTCAAGGTTAAGAAGAAATTTTCTTGCGGCGCGTTAAGCTTTGGAGATAATTCAAATTCAATGTTTCATCCAATCTTTAAAGTCAGTTGTCATTTCTAAAATCTAAGCGCCAGATACCAAAAAACAGCAAGTCAGATGCACTGATTTAAGCATCGCAAGCATTTACAGCTGTGGTTACCAAAATTACTCAATACTTTCTTTTCATCAGTTTTAATGTCCCTTTTTTATCTGAGAAAAGTCTGTCTTGCATTTCCCTTTCCCCTATCTCTATTTTTCCACCCTTGAGTAGTCCTCGTCTGCTCATATGAAAGTGTATCCCCCGCCTGAGCCCCCCGTGAGGAAGTCCGACCTGGTCTGTTGCATGACCACCGAGTGTCCTTGAGCAGAGGCCTGTTGTGCCGCATTCGCGTAACATCCGGGAGGAGGGGGCTACAAATCACAACCCCACTTATCAGCTTAAAGTAAATCATAAACATTAGAGATTGTTAAGCCAGCAATCTTTTCATCTGTCCTTCTATAAGTTTCAAAATGAAAACTGTAGCCTCTATATTGGTGAGCTTGGCGATTTTTCCCCAATTTTTCTGCAGCCAAATTCTTCTTGTGGAAATATCAGTTTTGGACAACATTAGCTGCTGCTCGAGTACTCTCTTTCATAACACTTAGTTGGTTTATGATCAACCCTAAAGCAAGCAATCCTAATTCAAGGTAAAACTAAGTGCGATAAATTTGCATTAAAAACGTCAAGCAATGCTAGTGATGCAATCCATAGAAGCCCAAATTTCCGCAAACAAAACGCCTTCAAGCGCCCTGTTACTTAAAACTTGCTATACATAATTAATCAGCATTTAATATATTTCTTGCCTATTTCGAAAAACTTGAATAGGATGGTAAAAAATTCGCCTTTTTTTTTAAACCATAAAATTTTGTTAAGTCCTTTGAAAAATTTTAATGACATACAACTTCTCATCTCAGAAACTAAAAAATGAGCAGTCGCATTTGGACGCAAGATTCGAAACCCCTGAAAGTACCATGACATGAGCCAACTAAAGGTTTGGGTATTTCAATTTTTTTTGAATTATTTTTTAACTTGAGTTTTCTGAACCATTTTGAAAAATCACAAAAATCGCCGTATCTCGTAAACTTAAAGGATTTGGGCATTCATAACTGGAGGCCAAATTCGCAACCCCTGAGGGAAGCCTGAAGGCATCCCACTATTGGGTTGCTCAATTATCAATTCCAACTCGGTGGAAGAAACACTGAATTCAAACTGGAATTCAAGCTATACACGATATAGCTTAAGCGTGAAAAAAAATCTATCGTTAAACATGCAAAAATAACACGTTGAAAAAGCTTGGCGAGATAGTGAAGGTGGCGAGATAATAACTCCCACATTTAAATAAATAATAGATTTAATCAATTCGCAATAAGTTTAATTATTTCAGTAATCTTGCATAAATTAGTAATCAATTAATTCAAATGATGAACTTTCAACCCTTTCATGTTTTTTTGATAACATGCTTCAATTAAAAATCTTTTCTGATGAATTTTTTTTTTGGATAAAATTAATCCAATTTGAGACAACTGGAACAAAAGGTGAATTCTGTAATCCACTAAGATATGCAAAAATCAAAATAAACTTTGAAACTGAGAGTCAATTAGTATTTTTTGCGCAAGTTCAACTTTTGTGAGAGCTTAATTGAACTTCCATTTAGCGTAAGAAATTTCAGAGAAAATCAGAAGTGAAAATGCTATCAGATCACGCGTCGACCATCAAAGTCCAGCAAATACTCAATTTTTCAGATTCATCAAGTCAATTTTTCGGTCAATTTTTTAGCCAATTTTTCAATTTCATCAAGTTCAAAAAGCAACTAGTCATATATTCTTCGTTTGATCATTTCATGCATATAGTCAGTTTTATCATGCAACCGTTTTTCCAAAAGCAAGCAGAGCTCGAATATAATGTTGTCAGAATCCATCACGCTTCAAAAAATGGGCTTGTTTAATGTAACAAAAATAAAGAGACGAAGAACTTTTTTATTAAACAAGTCCATTTTTTTCAAATACTTTTTGAAAAACAAAATAATGCGAATCTTTGAAATTTCAGAGTCTGCGAATCTAAAGGAAACCAATAGCTACGTGCTCGTTTTCCATGCTGAAGCGTTTGGTTTGCCCGATGATCAAGATTTTTTACTAAGTATTTTTTCGGATTTACTGAGGAAATTTCAAAAAATGCGATCTCTCGAAAAATAGGTTCTGGAAAACTAGATGGTAAAATTTTTTAAACATTATAACCATATGAACTTAACCAATTGAAGAGAACATGTTATTTATCAATAAAGTGCATAGGAATGCATGGAGAACGGGGTTATCGTGAATCTTTCATTATATGTGCTTGAGCAACAATTAACAAACCTCGAACTTAAGATTGAGACTTTGTCTCCAACTTTTCAGGATTTTCAAAAATTTTGACGACCTTTTTTTTAAGGTCGACCAATTTGATTTTCCGAGCTCTTCTAAAGCAGTAAAAGGACCCTGTTGTGGCCAAATTTTCTGCGCCGCAGGCAAATTTTTGAAAAAACAGGTCAAAAAAAGCCGTTTTTAGGCACTTTTTGAAAAATTTTGACAAAAAAAATTGCGTTTTTTTGGCACGCGCTCCCCCTCAAAATTAGTATATATTGGCGCCAAAGGCGCCTTTAGAAAAATTTTAGGGTCGGTCGGCAAAAAATGGATTTCTTAAAAAGTACCAAAGGGGCGACCCTTTGGGTCGGCAGGGGGTCGAATCCCTGAGGGGGGGGGGGGGGTGGGGGGGGGGGGGGGAGGCGTCTGGCACCGCCCCCCCCCGTAAATCCGCCCCTGCACCAATATATTACTAAGACACAAAGACCAATATTCTACTAAGATCCCCAATCCCCAAAACCAAAAACATCGCCTACAGACAGTTAGAAAAAAGTCAATGGACACAAGTAAAAAGAAGCATAGCCAACTGAAAGTTGGAAAAGATTCAATGAACGCAAGTTAACAGAAAAAAAAGCAGAAACAAGTAAATTTGAGCCTGAGCAAATTTGACTTTTCCTGGGAAAAACGAAAAAATGACATCAACACCTATATGCACTAGCGGACAACATTGAGCGTAAGTTCTCGCTAAAATGCCTCTCTTCAAGAATGAACTTGGGATAGCTTTCACTGGGATTTAAACAAATTTTTGCATAGAACAGAGAGCAATTGATCAGTGCTGCCCTCTATGAAATTATCAAAATTTGGTTTCATAGACTGACCAGTTTTTTCCGGGTATGAAAATGCCAGTTTTCACAATGTGCACTTATTTATTCAAAACGTGTGAAACTGTAATAAACAGCTGAGTTTAGTAAAATTGTCACACTGAACAAATCAATATTATCGCTTAGAATGTTTCACATCGAATGAGCATTTTATCTTCGCTTTTTTGAGGAAAGTTTACACCAATGCAAAACTTGGTGCTGATGGTGAAAATTGGTTTTTAAGACCCGGAAAAACTGCCAAGTCATTGATAATTTCATAGAGGGTAGCTCTGATCATTTGCTCTTGGTTTATATAGAAATTTTGTTCAATTCCTAGTGAAAATTGTCCAAAATCATCCTTGAAAACCGCCATCTTAGAACAAAAACCCTGAATTTCCGCTTTGTTATATCAGCCAGTGTAAGAGTCTGAATTTTTTCATCGACTCTTAATAACTCACCGGTATGCTGGGCGCGGAGTTCTTGTCGAACCTGGCTCCTGCGTCGAATGCATTATTGACGACTACCGGTTGCTGAAACATAGCGCATAGATTTACCCCAAACTTCACATATCAAACTGCGTTTCCATAGATCTTAAAAAAGTTTCCCCTTAAATTTACTTTTTCAAACATGAACAATTAGACTTCGGCGTGGAAGTAAGCTGGAACCTTCCTGAACTATCGGCAGTTCTTTTATTTGCAGATTTTGACTGCGCGTAAAATTCTGCAAAATTTGCATTCAGTAAACATAGAGTTTGCAGATATACATTTTGTTTGTAATTACTAAACACTCAATGTGAAACTCACAGCGAACTAACTCGGTTTCACTGCAAAGAAGCCATATGTCAATCTTGTGATCATGACCATAATAGAAGTAAAACAAAAGAAAATTCGACTAATATGACCTTTAATACTAGCGTTTCTTAAGGTTAAACGACAATTATTATGCATTTTAACCACGGTTTTGCCACCATCTTCTCAGCGCGTTTCTCTCTTTTATTTATTTGACGGCCATAACTTTTCATTCAAAGTAACAAAATAAGTTTATCGCGAGCTTAGACAAAGCTACGGCCACATAACAATAGCTATCTCGTGCAACTGTTCAACATTGATCTAAAAAGCTTATATTTGGTCAATAAAAAGTAATTTCTGGTGTAACAAGTACCCCATGTTGAATAAACGCATTGAAGTTAGAAAACGAAATTGTATTTATTTATGCATCTTTGTTATAATGGCCTAGAATTTCCTGCGCCCACTTTTTCAATTTCACCCCTTTCAACTTCAAAGACAGTTAATGGGCATTCATACCCCGTTGGGACTGTAGTTGTAGTTTGAGTAGGCGGGGGCAGCTTGCCCCATCATAGGCTGCATACCCGGTTGCGGCTGGTAGCCTGAAACAAACAGCACGTCTATATAACAAATTTTAATAAAATGGTTCCTGTGGATAGCAGAGGATCTATGAAAGGTTTATCGGACTTGTTTAAGTAGAGTAATTTCATTTCTATTATATCCCCACATTCCAGACTGAATTATTTTAATGAACGAAGCTCTTTTTCGATACTCAAAGCCGTATTTGTTGCGTCTAGAGCTTTCACATAGTACCACTATTACAACCGACATAGGTCAGTGTGGTAGAACTGAAGCTAGAGGTCAAGTGAGAGCTTGTCCTCTTACACTATTATTGCCATGGCAGGGGATCGAATACACAATCTGCCGATCTCAGAGTGAACTCCTTACAGCTATGCTATGTGCATCTACAAATACTGATTCATTTGGCACTAAATTACTAAAAATAAGAGGTCAACCGTTCAGCATTTTCGTTCTCCATTTCGAAAACTCATAGCCAACAGACAGTAGGAAAAGATTTAATGAACTCGGGGAAGCCCAAAAAATACTTTTCGAAGAACCCAAAAAACGATTTTCGAAGAACAAATTAAACTACGTATAGCTCTTGATAGTCAACGCTTGAGCATCACAGAGTCTGAAATGATCTGACAGTTTTTACTATAAACCGAACTTCTGAATAAATCAAATTCTCTGTCCATCGCATATCAGCTTATTAAAAAGATCTGTGCTTTAAAATCTCGTTTTAAGTATACTGCAAGGATTTTTCAATTGAATATTTCCCACGCAGTTATTGTATCAGACCGAATCTTCGATTAATCGAAGAAACTGTCATAAAGGACATATGTTCGCTTCCTTCTTTATAAAGTTGCTTTTTTGTGTTGCATATTCAATATCAATTCGACAAACTTCCCAAGAATTTATCAGAGAATCAGAGAAAACTGCGTCATTGTAATTTCCTACATGCATTTCATTCTAATTTAAACAAAAGCCAGCCCTTACCTATAAGAAATGGTATACGATACTACTTAGCAATAAAAAATTTTCCACCATCAAACTGTGTGGTAACATTTCAGAACATGTTTAATTGATTGCGTAGAAACGGAAACTCGTAATGATTCTGCAGCAATAAAAAGTCAGCTGCGTGTGATAATTAAGCACCATTTTTGGTATTTTACAAGTTGACATGTGCTCAAAATTAAAAATATATATATACAAATGAAAAAGCAAAATTTGTGACCCGCAGCAATTTTAAAAAAGGGCAGTAAAAAGCATATTAATTAATTAGTAGCACCTAGAGTCTTAACTTTGAATACGCGAGGCAACGTTTCATATACTTTGCCCGAATGCCAATAAATGAACATACCTAAAAACAGGATTTTAAATAAGTTTTGATCATATTGCAGGAAAATTGTCGATGAGCTCAAGAAAGCAGTTCTCAATTCACTTTTCAAATAGCACAAAAATATCATGAAATAACAAGAAAAAAGCGTCTGTAGGCTGAAGTCTTCTATGAAGAGATTCAAAGCCTGTGTAATACAAGTTCTTTATCGGAAAAAAAAATTATGTTCCAAGTTCATAACGCACAAGTACAATTCTTGTAAATCGGAGTTCATAACGCACAAATCCACAAATTTCCGAAGACCAAAGAAACTGCCGATATGTTACATCCTTAACTTTATTTGTTAACGTTTACTTTTATTGAGTTCTTTTTGAGTTGAGTTTGGTTAACTTCCAATAACTTCTTGTTAAGTTGACTTTTCGACATTGAAAACTAAACAAGCTTTGAAATTGCTTTATGTTAAAAAAGAGGTTCTTGAAATCGCACTGTAAACAACTACTTCCGGACCTTCCCGCTGTGTTCAGAAAAACCTTTAAAAATTAGCTCATTCAATCCTCAAACTTTCACGTGAAGCTTCAACTAAGAAAAATGATTTAGTTATGCAGACTGCTCAGTCTATTTTTGAAGGATGACCAACGAAAGATTAAGATTAAAACTGGTAAGTGTTAGAAGCAGCTCAAGCCTAAAATCATAGTTAAGAAACATATAAGAGAAGTTCAACTCACGCAAAATCACGTGAAAAAACAACGAAGAAACTGAAAATCTCTCCATTCCCAGACCTCCAAATTAAGGGTCACTTGCCTTAACCAATGTGCAAAACTAAGGCCACACGCTTGAGCAACAAATTGTAGGCAACAAAAAATGCCCTCATTAAACAAAAATTTATGGTATAAAAATCGCTACATTGAAATGTGAAATGAACGATAAAATGCGTCACCTGTATAAAAATAAGACGCCCTCTTACTAAAACGCGAAACTTAACTGGTGTAACCGAGTACCCGCTTGTTGCGCAAGCAGTAGACATTATTCGTATTCCCTGCCAAAAACAGATTAGGTATTGGGTAAAAATTAATAATATCTACAGAACTTCAAGAAAGAATACATTCCAAAAAAAAGAATTCCATGAAAGCTGCTACTTGAAGTCCTTTCCCCGAGATGCCATTGGAAAAAATTAACTATTTTGCCAACACTGGTTATGCAAAATATGTAAAAACTTTGATTAGATTTTCTGAGATTTTTCCACATGTAGTCATACCGGTTCCCTTTACATTCAATTTTCGCCCATTTATCCAGAGCTAAGTCTATTTTATTTTCTTAACCCACTGTTCCACAGTTTTGGGGTCCTTTTTTAATATTTTCTGGTTTTTTGTTAGATACTAAGAGTTTCAAGTCGTCTGCAAAAAATATACGGCAGGTGCCGGAACAATCAACAAATTTAGCATGTCCGTCTTCCCGTGAAAGTAACTGCAGGTAGTTCATAGAGATTTGTAAGTTGTTCATGAAAAAAACTAGTTCCCGATGACCAGAGCAGCTGTTCTCTCAAGTGCAATTATCGTAACCAAAATTAAACAAACAGTGTATATGCACGATTGTTTCCACCAAAACAAAAACTCAACTAACGAACCTGGCATTCCCATTCCCATATCGCTGCCTGGTAAAGGTTGTGGTTGGTAGTATTGTTGCTGGGGAGGTGGATATGCTCCAGGTGGTGCATATGGAGGGGGTGCACCATATTGCATAGCTTGTTGAGGAGGGTATGACGGGGCCGGTTGTGTTGGATAAGCACTTTGTTGAACAGGGTAAGCTGCTTTACCGGATTTTTTACCTTACACAGAAAAAGCTCAGTTTACAAATCAAATAGATTCGAAGAATTGATAGGGTAAAAATCATACAGACTTACCCATATTGAACTTCACTTCGTTTCTGAAAAAATAACAATAAATTAAACTCTTAAGAAAACTATAATCTGAGTACAAAATTTAAAGGTAGCCCCATTAAAGACATTATTTTTCTCATACGGTTGAAAATATAACTGTGGCCAACAAAAAGGCAGGAATAATCTCATCATTTATTTACTATTACTACTAACTTTGAGGTTGTATGATTTATTTTTCTGATTGTAAGAACACTAAAGATAAGTGGTAAGTATAGATAAATCGGAAAAAAGAGAGCTCGATTTAGCTTAAAAAAACAGTCTAATTTTTTTTTGTCTTTTTTGATAAATCAGAAGGTAAGAAATTATCATGGTGACGGACGTTACTACATCAATATATAAATAAATGATAAATAAATCATAATGTCCTGGTTATGAAACTCCAAAAACTTGGTATCACTGGGAAGACTCTGACACTTATTCGAACCTACTCGAGTAACAGAAAACAATTTGTGGACATAGATGGATACCATTCTGGATGTTAACAAGTGGTGCTCCACAAGGCTCCACAGGGCCGCTGCTTTTCTTAGTTTATGTTAACCATCTTCAAATTTTCTCTTTCGCCGACGACACGAAACTTTTGTCTGCTACCCCGCACAGATCAAGCAATAATATGCAAACTGACATCGATAGACTGCAAAATTGGAGCATCGCAAACTTCATAGATTTCAACGAAGAGAAGTGTGCCGTTCTGAATTTTCTATGTTCTTCGCCAACAAATTATGACCTGATGCTTGGTGAAAAGTCTATTCAAACGAAGACAACGGAAAAATACTTAGATGCTATGGTAAACAAGACTCTAAGATGGACAAATCACGTCGAATATGTTATAGCCAAAGCAACAAAAGTATTTTTCCCAATAAAAAGAAATGTTTCACCAGCCGTTTGTATGCAAACCAAGTTGAATCTCTACAAGATTATGCTGCTTCCGATTCTTTTATACGGCAGCCATGTATGGTGGCTCTCAAAAATGGACACGAAAACAATTGAAAGTTTTCAACACCGCCCGACACGCTGGATAGTAGGTGGGCATTTACCCTATAGAGTAAGACTGAAGATGCTCAAAATCTTACGATTGTACGATTAAAACTATTTATCCACGGGGAAAGGACCAACACAAGAGCTGTACAGCTCATCACGGCGAACCGCTGTTGTGCCCCTGTTTAAAAACTAAATGCAATTTTTTTGGGCTGGGTAATGTTGCTTCACCCTCAAGTAACGAGCACGGATCATGGTGGGCCTCAAACATCCGACCTTTCGATTGAGAGGCGGAGACGTAAAGACTTCACCACCGCTCCCCTCCCTTGTTTCTGAAACTAACCGACTTGTTACTTCTTTCTAAAATTTTTAACGGCTAAATGTGCATCGAACTCGAACCCCAGGTTACCGAAGTAACTTTTCTGCCTTCCACGATCATAACAGAAACATGCCGGAGAAACTTTTGGTACCGCGCAGCACGTGTCTCCAACAACTTGCCTCGGGACAAAAGGATGCGGCTTGAGTTTTGACTGGCACCAAAATGCCTACCACGATAAGAGTGACTTCAACACTCGTAACAACCTTAGTAAACGGTGGGATAACAGTGCATGAGGCCTTGACGAGGATAATGTACAAGATGGGTGAACAAGAGCAACAGAATTGATCAGGATGACCGAGCTAGAAAGAGCTGTTCTTATCGAATTAGAGAAATTTCCAGAAATAAATCACGAGCAAGAAACTAGCCAGAACGAAAAACGCTTGAAGAAAAGAACGCATGACTACCTGGCAAAGAATTTGTCGCGAATGACACGCGAAGCTGAACAGCAACGGTTGAGAGAAAGGAGCTAAACGAATGCTCTCTGGACACTTGGTACTTGACTGGAGGCCATGATGAAAAAGGCGCACTCTAGCCAAAATGAACAAGTTAGAAAACCACTTGATTGCTGGAAACAGATCAGGAAAAAATACAGTAGCTGCAAGCAGAGATTCTAGAGTAAATATTGGGATGGCGGACAGGAGGGTCCACCAGAGGAAGGGTTAGCTCAACTAATAAGACTACTGTCAGTTACCTAACCCTACTGGCTGTTCGTGGCATTCCAAGAAACCCCACTAACGGTCACCGAGAAGGGTCAATTGGCTGCACGCCAGCCGCGACTAACCGACTTATGAGGAACACTTTCGCCTGTGGAAGAGGCGGCTCTCAGGACGGAATCACTCATACCGGGGAAGGAATCAATAGAGACTTTTCGGTGGGCTATACGTTCTAAAGCCACAAATGGTTGAACACAGGCCGAGGTTGAAAATAAAGCAAGACATCGGTCCCCGAGGATGCTAATGTAACAACTCAGGACGTAGACCGCGAAAAAAATCAATAACGACAGTTATGATCCTTCCTGGGAGGCCCAGGATGGATAACTTTTGATTCCTGCATCAGACCTCAACCTGATATGAGACAGGTGATCGACGGGGACGTCGATGATTAGTTTTGTTCGGGGAGTGCGTGTAGGATTAGGGTGTAGGCCACACTGAAAAACTGATTGTGCGACAAACAATTGTAGAACTAGACTCGCGAAGAGACGTGAAGGATGACAGGGCCCTGGACCCCTTGTGGAAACACTAAATCCCTACTACTACTACTAACCAAAAAATTAAAACTTGCTAGAGAAACAAGTGATTTATAGGCAGGAACAGATGAAGGCCCTAAAAAATTAGATATAGGAAGAGTAGCTTAGACATATTTAGCTTGCGAGGGAGTACTGGAGCAGCCTAATACTACCGAATAGTGGTTTTATACAGACAAATAGGACATGTTCAACAGCCATCACCGCGGATTTGAGTTTCGAAATAGTTTCAACAGCCGATTTTAGTATAGAATACAATAGCATAGAGTTTTTGAAGAAGCAAAGACCAGAAGGGGGTATAGCAGCCTTGCTCAGCAGCGACATAAAATGCTAGGAAAAATTTCATGCTTTATTTAAAGAGAAAAAGCGAAAATCAACACTTCGGCCTTGAGAAATTGGTTTTATCTCTGATAATTTTGAGATATTTCACAGTGTAGAGGGGCGTACAGAAGCTCGCATTACGGTAGACAACCCAAACAGAGGACGACGACTGCATCTAAATGAATTTACACAGCAAAACTTGTAATCCTTCCAGATATCAACATCGAAGTATTTTTGCATAAGACTAATGACTTGAGCATAGGTTGATAGAGACATATGAGGACCGCACCTGAATGTTCAGACCATAAGGACTTATATAAGAACCTTCAGATTTTAGGATTTTTATGTCATTATACGTGGGCTATTTCGTTAGAACCAACTATTTGGGTAGTTAATGACCACGCACGTCTTTACAAATAACCTCAGTAAAAATTCCAAAGTCTGGACTGTCAACTTTTCTATCACTTTCCTACAATTTTCAATTATATAAAACTTTTCAATAAATTTTTAAAACAGTTTTTTAACCTGACTGTTTTAAACGCTTTTTTAAAACAAATGAAAGGCGATGTTGTGAAAGTATGATGGTCGAACTGCAATCTTACTTTTAAATCTGAATGAAAATTTTAATTTCGAATCAACCCTTAAAAGAACACGATCAAGAGCGAATCATTACGCTCTATCGCGTAGACGCGCTCTGTCGCCTGCTATTAGAATGGGACTTCGTTCTGGACGACCCAGAGGTAGGGATGCTGACTGCAGACATAACGAACTCTCAGGGCACGACAACGGTGGGGACTGCGCTACGTTTTTCTTATTGATGGCCTACTGTGGGGAACAAGGAGTACTAGACCTCTCAGGAAGGGACTTGACTTATAATTCCGACCTGGAAAGTTCAACGAATTATCAGTTAGGACGATGCCTCTCCGCAACAGACCTCTGCCTGGTTTGAGTAGCATATATCAGACAAAATATCAAGAAATTAGTAGCGAGTCTGCTTCCTCTAGCTCAAAACTGAGAGTAGCTGTGTCATCGAACGAAACCATGGAAGACATCACGGAAAAAAGGAAATGAACTGGACAGAGGGAAGGGACCAGGAGAGTGAGAAGGGAAGGGACAAGAACTCTAGAGGATAGAGATATGCGGAGGAGACTGTTTGATGACAAAAAAAAAGAAACAAGAAATAGGAAGAGAGCGTCTGAGGCGAGAAAACAAAAAACGATCTGAGATATATAGATCGCACAATACGTGAGAGGAACGTCCCTAACAGGAACTCAGCTGTCGAAGTGTTAGCGCCACGAGAATTGAGGCAGTAAACGGAGATGCAAGTAACGTCAGATCTGAAACATTAATTATCGCGGATCCGGTCATACAGTAATAGACACAATTTTAGGAAAAAACTATGAAACAATTAGTCCAGACAGCGGGTCGCGTAGTAGCTAGCATGAATACGCCAGGTACAGCACCCTGCGGAACGATCGACGACAATGACAAATGGAACTCTTCAGAGCAGTAGCAAGAAAGACAGACAACAGATCACTTGCGACAATCGAACCGAGACAGGGATCCAGCTGACAGATGAAGAGGATGCTTATGTAGAAACTCTATCCTGAAGATGCTTATGAAAATCAACTAAAATAAAAACAACTTCACCTGTGTACCGGAATCCAATTTTCGGGTATATTTCAACAAATCAGCCGGAGCCCGGCAGTGAACATGCAACAAGCACCACTGGAAACCTCACATCTGATATTGGTGGTAGCCTAAAAAGGGTGTTGCAAAACCTGAGGAGATAATGGATAACCACAGTAATGACGTTTGCAGGCGCTACCTAGGACCAGTTAGACAGAATTGATGAATCCTGGTAGAACTGCTAGCGTGATCATCATAATTGACTCCAACAAAGTGTCTAGGACTCCAAAAACAGAAGAGGGCCGATGGGAAGAACTGTTGGTATGATTGCTGACCGCTAATTGGCAGCATTTCCAGTGCTCGGTTAGGACCATTTGCACTGCTCCTATGAGCACAAGGACGCACATAGCTTCTTCGCGAAGGCAGAAAAAAAAGACTATGAGAAGAAATAACATTGTGCGAAACATACCACGTCGTAATTACGAGCTAAAATCCATGGATCAATCCAGATTAAGAGTTGCTGTCATTCATTTCGCTAGCTTAGAAGC